GTTCTAAAAAAAATAAAAAATATAAAATATGATATTATAAAAATAAAAATAATAAATCATTAAAAAAAAAAAATTAAATATTTATTTATATAAAGGTATAAAATATAATTATAATAAAAATTAATTAAAAAAAATACTTATAGAAAATTAAAAAAATTAAGATTAAAAATTTAAATTAAATATATATAAAAAAAAATATATATTAAAAATATATATATGAATATATATGTAAAATATACATATATATATATATATATAATATCAGAAAATTTTTTATTATCATATATTAATTATATTATAAAATATAATATTATTGAACAAAACATTTTATGTTTTTTTTATTATTTAAAAAATTATTCATTATATTTAAAAAAATATTTTTATTTTTATAAACTTTTTTAATTAAATTTATATTACTGTTTATTTTTTTTTCGTTTATATAATTTAAAAAATAAAAACAATAATTTTTAATGAAAGCATAATATGTTGTAAATTTTTCAGATTTATCAAAAGAAAGACAACGAAAATATGCCTAATTTTTAATCATGAACGATTTCATTTTTAAAAAAGACAATAAATCCGAAACATACCAAGCCACAATAAAATTGAATCCCTAATAAGAAATATAAAAAAATATCCAGAAAAGTCAAAAAATTGTCTAAATATCAAAATCTCCGACAAAAATTAAATCTTAATAAGAAATATACCGTAATATAACCACTAAAAAAGCCCAAACGCATTATTCTCCCCCAAAAACGCCTAAAACCCCAAATATATATATAAATTAAATAATAGATAATAGAAGAAGTTAAATAATTACTAATAATATATAAGAAAAAAGTAGAAAACTAAATAAAAAATCTCAATCTACTAAAAGTATTAATAAATCGTAAGAAACATTATCATATAGGAAACAAAATAAAGAGAATTAAGATTAAAAAAAATAAATTCAACAATAAATATTAATAGAAAATAATAAATAATATATATAGAAACTTCAATTAAAAAAATAAAAAAAACATATCATAAATTCCATAAATATACCCTAAAAAAGACCAAATAAAAGCATATCTATACACTAAGAGCCTACTTATATATAATAAAACTCAAATTAAAAAATATTTGATAATACTTGTAATTAAATTGATAATAATATTAAAAATATAAGTAAAAAAAATGATTAAAATAATTTAACTTAAATGAATATTTTGAGAAATTTTTTAGAACAAAATTTAATATAAAGACCTTTTAAAATCACTATTTTTCATCTTTATAAATGTATATAGGAGTTATATTAGGCCAAGTATTATTAAAATACATTGACGATTAAAATGAATGAAAATAATATGAAAGATATGAAGTTTTTAAAGGAAAATGATGAAATTAATTTCAGCGAATTCATATATAAATACTATAATGAAAAATACTAAAATTATAAAAAAATGAGTGTATAAAGTTTAATAAATTTAATAGAAAGTGTTGAATATTATTTATAAAATAGTGAAAAATTTAATAATATTTTAATTTTACCTATACTAACGTTTTATGGTTTTGCCCAAAATCATTATTAGAAAGAAGAACTTGCTTTTTATTTATTTGTAAGAGAAATGATGTTAAAATATACAGAAAATAATGTAAATTTATATTTATTTTAATTTATGGAAAAAAAAAAAAAAGCAAAATTCTTTATTATCATTAGAATAGTGTAAAAATATATTAGAATAAGTATATGGAGAAAAAGAAGAAAAAATAATAGAAAGATTTATGTAAAAATTAAAATAAAATATTTTTTAAAATGAAAATCAATAATAAATAAACGTAAATTGTTTCCTAAATATAGCTCTAGAGGATTATATTTAAGGGAAAAATAATAAAATTTGGGATTCTTCAGTTTCTAGTACTTAATAATATAAAAGTGAGGAAAATAATTTATAATTTACATTTAAAAAGAACAAATAAAATCATAGTTCCAATTTAGAAAAATGGGAATATACATTCGAATAATCATTTGGAGATTAATAATAATAATTATATCAATAATAAATTAATAATAATAAATAATTTGATTCATTCAGACCAGAAAATAAACTAGAATTAAAAATATGGGAAAAAATGTAAAAAAAAATACAAGAATTTATTGAATTAGTAATAAATGATAATTATAATGAATATACATTTAAATAAAAAAATGATAAATTTCATATAGTTGAAAAAATTGTCACTAAAAAAATTAATAAAATGATGGCAGCCCTTTTTGAAAACGATAAAATTAGGTGGCTTGAATTATTATGTATATAAAATGCTAATAGTAATTAATTAGAAAATATTGAAAATTTATAAAAATAATTAAAGTATTTATAAAATAAATGTATAAATAATATACATAATAGTGAGATTTCTAATTTTTGTAAAAAAATTTTATAAACTAAAGAATTAACGAAGGCTATAGGAAAATTATTGGTTTGTGTTTTAATGCCTGAAAATAGTTATTGAAAATTATTTTATATTTTATATTTTTTTATATTTAAGTATTTATTATTTATTTATTATTATTTATTATTATTATTATAATTATTTTATTTTTATATATAATTTTTTTATTTTATATTTAATTAATATTAATATATTTATATATTAATTATATATTGTTTTTGTTTAGTATATTTTATTTAATAATATTCAATTAGTTTTTATGTGTTTAGTTCATATTAGCTAATTTTTTTAAAAAAATGTTCTAAAATATTTATAAAATTGTTATTTATGTATAAAAATTAATATTTTTTATTTAAAATAAAATAATATAATTTTAATTAAAATAAAAGTATCTAAAAAAATAAATTAATATTTTATTAAAAAAACTTATATTTAAAATAAATTTCAATTATTTAAAATATTATAATATTAATAAAAAAAATAAAATAAAATGTTATTATAATTATATAAATTTTTAAAATATAATATATAAAATAAATATATATATATATATATATATATATATATATATATTTAAATTTAAATTTATTTATTTATTATAAAATAATTTTTTTAATTAATTTAATATTATTTCAATTACTAATTAATAAAAAATACTTAATTTATTAATTTAATACGAATAATAATTTTTTTTTATTTTTTAATTACATTTTTCTAATTTATTTATTCTAAAATTTTATTTATGAAATAATATTATTTTTTCAAATTTACATTAATCATCCTATAACAATGTAAAAAAAAATGAATAAATATTTTTTAATATATAATATAATATAAATAACCTAGTATTAAATAACGATAAAAGTTATTATAAAAATTTTCAAAAAAATAAAAACATATAATCGACATATTTAATAAAAATAGACAAAAAAACATTTTTATGATTAAGATTAATATCACTTAAATTCGCCTACACTTTACAAAGTAGAAAATACAAGAATTTATATTCGAAAAACTTAGAATAAAATTATTACTATTAAGTATAAAATTTTCAGAAATCTAAAATAACTTCCAAAAACGCAATTGATTATACTTTAAAATTAAAATATGTAAATCTAACAATTTAAATAAAGAAATAATAAAATAAACTCGAGAAAATTCTTGTTTTTTCGCTTATTTTGAGATTATTTTGGAAATTTATAAACTTATAAGTTTTTTTATTTTTATAATAATTTTTTTAAAGATAATTTATAGAATAAGTTTTTACACTTGCTAATTAAGTATATATATTTGACATAATAATAATAATATTTTTTTTCGATATTCTAAATTTTTTATGCTCCAGTTATTATACCAAAAGTGAAATAATCAAAGGCCAAATCAATATTATAGTAACATATATAACAAACATTTTATTTTATAATATAATAAATATATTGCCTTTATTTATATATGATATAGCTTAAATAAAGGAAAATATATTAACTAGCTAAGGAAAATAAATAGAAATTTTTATGTACCATTTTGTTTTCATATAAGATGATCTCATTAAAATAATTTAAAATAAAATCTTATTAATAGAATTTATTAAATAAAATGGACTTCTGATTATTAAATATTATTATATAAATAATTAATATGCAGCTTAAATATAAGTATTTTTTTATATGTATATAAGATTCATAATATTTTAGGCATATTACAATTTATAATCTTACAATTATAATATTGTAGGTGATTGAGATATTAAATGAAATTAGACTTTTTATTATAAATAACTTTTACTTTATTAATTAGAGACGTATATTCTTTTAGAATAGAATTTCAATCTATAAGTGATTTTTATAAATTTTAAAGATTAAAACGGACATTTCTTGTCACATAAAAGACTATGAATACTGAGAGATTAAATGACTTAGTTATAATAGTAGTACTTTTCAATTTGAATAATAATGTTCATATATATACATTATTATATATAAAAATACATTTTATCATATATATAAATTTTTAAAAGGTATTTTAAGTCAATAAACTATTAATAATGTAATTTTGATTTTATGATGAATTTATAAAATTCTCCTACCTATAGAATATATAAATATACCATAAATTCGAGATTATAAAACCTTATGAAATTTATTTTTTTATATAATAATATAGGGTAGTTCTTAAATTTAAAATAGAATAACTAAAATGAACATTTTTTTTTATATAAAAAATAATAATTTTCATGCAAATGAATAATGATAAAAAAAGACTAGAAATAAATATGAAATATATATATATATATGTATATATAAGAATACTAAAAAAATAACAATAATCTTACTAATTTATAATAATAAATACTATAAAAATAATTATAAAGGACTATATATTCTTTTAAAGTGATTTTTTTTATTTATTTTTTTCATAAAAAGTATTTTAAACATTTAAAGAGATATAATTCGTATATAATATTTATTTTAAAATAAATGATTTTTTTTTTTTTTCAAAAAATAAAATACTCACATAAATATTTTTTATATATATATATTTATCGAATAAAGATGCTAAAATTTCTATCATAAATGTATTTAGAAAACATCTAAATTAGAAATATTTAATAAAATAAAAGATTTACAAACAGATAATTAGGGAATGCAAATTAATCTACAAGAACTTTTTACTTTTTCGTCATAAATAAGCTTAGTATCAAATTTACTGCAATTTCCACTAAAATAAACATGCGGTAATTCATCAATAATAAAATTATCTTAATCTCCAAATGGATAACATCTAAAAATAACAACAACAACAAAATCAATATATAAAAAATATTAATATATTTATTTACTATAAAGTATCAGGAGCACTAGGAAACATATGTCTCCAATAGATATTATTCTCTAAAATATCGATTTCATTATCATTTAAACTGGAATATTTTTTAATATCAGAAACATTCTAACCTGAAGTTCCAAGAAATTGAATTCCATCTATTTCAAATTTATAAGGATTAGTTACACATTATAAGTTCTTATTATTAATAGATTACATAAAATAACATTTGTTAATAGGTTATTGAGGTAAAAACATAGGGGTAGGGTCTTTTTCTCCAGGCATTATATCTAAAGATGTATTATATGATAGTTAACTAATTAATTCATCTACATCTTTCATTTTTTAACTAATCTCAGAATATAAGTTTTTAAATTAATCTTGGCATCTATAAGAGCCGACTAAATTATAATCTAATCCTTAAACTTTTTCTATTACATTACCAGCAATAATAACTCTATTTACATTTTACATTATCTGTATAAAATATATTATAATTTATTAATATTTTTTTAATAAATATATTTAAAAATAGATAAATAAATATAAAAAATATATAAATGTATAATAATATATATATATATATATATATATATATTTACTTTTTTTAAATTTGAATTTCCTACAAGAATTGATGTAAACATTTTCAATGAAAATTTATCAACTTTTGAGTCTATATGTATACCTGATGTAAAAATTACAAAATTTCCTATATTTTCTAAATTATCTTACAAATAATACTAAAAATCATATTAATTCTAATTAAAATTCGTACTTAAAGGATATGGAATACTGACTTTTTTTTCCTAATAAGGTAAAAGACATGAATACATTTCTTAAACTTCAAAAACATTAACTTCTGCTGCTCTTTAAATTCCTTTAATTCCCATAACAATTCCAGTTACTAACATATCTTTATTAATTGGGCTTTTCTATCCTAAAGGATTTACATATATAGAATTATTAAAAGAAAGTTACATTCTACCTAAATTATCTTCCATATATATAATATCATCATCACTTATATAATTATTATTATTAACCTTTTAATTTTATTCAGAAAACACAGAAGGTTTTAATTTCATATGCTTATATAATGTAGCTATTACAATTTAGGCCTCATTTCCAGGCTTTACATTGAGTATTTTATCACAAACGGAAAGATTTTTTTATTCAAAAGTATGATGGAAGTATGTAGAAAGGTTATTTAACCTTAAAAAATAGGTTTTAGAATATTATTATTGATAATTTATTTGCTTTATGCCTATTTAGAAATCTTAAGAGAGATTAATGTATGTTGATTTTGGGTTTCTTTAGAAATCTTTAGGGGTTTGTGGAATTTTGTGTTTACGCATTAGATTTAATATAGAACCTTTTTATGAATATTCGACTTCCATTATATTAACTTTTTTGTTTTGTTTATTTTTTAGATTAATTATTAATATTTTTTATTTTTTACGTTTATTTTTATTTATTTTTGTTTAATTTTGGGCGCGCGTATTATTTAATTTTTATTAATAAATATGTGTATGAATACTTTATATATAAAAATACCTTATATTTTGTATTAATATAAAAAATAACAAAAATTTAAGAATATTAAAAATATATTGAATTGCTTTTTTTAAAAAAATAAAACAAAAAAATTGTTAGTATTATTTTATTTTAAAAAATATTAAAAATTAAATATATGAATTATATTAAAAATAAACAATAATGCTTTATATATAAAATATTAAACTAAAATTATAATTATTAGTTTATAAATAAATTGAACATTATAGAAACAAAAATACATATATATATATAAATTAAATTACTATAATATATATATATTAAACTAAACAAAAAAAATGTATAAATCATTAAAAAAGCTATTTATCAACTTCATCATTATCTTTTTTTTCTTCCTCTTCTTCATCTTATTATAATACATTCTTTCCTTCCAAAACCATCACATCCTTATTATTATCACTATTAACCTGCTAGAACTTTTCCCCAAAAAGTTAGCATTCTTCATACTAAGCCCACATAGCCCAATGATGAAAAACAATTGAGGCAGCACAAGCCACATTTAAACTAGCTGTTTTATTTGTATATTAAGGGATATAAACAAACTGATCGCAAATATTTTTGTGACAATCTAATAATCCTTATCCTTCATTTCCCATTAAAAAAACAGTGTCTCCTTTAAAAGGTTATTAAATAATATTAATGCTATTAGACATAATCTCGACTCCACATACTGTAATTTTGTTTTCTTGAAAAAACTATTTCGCGTCTTTTAAATTAATGAAAGACTCAAAATTCATTTAATGGGAAGTTCCGTGATTTCCAAACATTTAAAATTCTTTTTTTATAGATTTAAATTTTCGCGAATAATCGTTTTATTCACCGTGTTTGCTTATTAAAAAAATTTTTTGAATATTAAATGCAGATGCACTGCGTACTAATGTTCCTATATTATGTCTTTTTTATATATTATGGATTAACAAATAGCCTTTTGGCTTATTATTTAAATTCATTAATATTAAAAAATGTTTGATTTTATAAAATATGTAATTATGTAAATATATTAAATATTAATAATTTTAATTAAATTATTTTTTATTAATTTAATTATATTTTATTTTGATTTTTATATATTTATAATTTTATATAGTAACTTTATATTAGGATTTAACAAAAAATTTAATTCAATATGATAATAATTAAATTATATATATATTAGTTTATTTATTAAAAAAAAAAAAAAAAAAAAATATTTAAATTAAAATATAAAAATAATATAATATATATATATATATATAATATATATATTTTTATATACATATTTTATATATTATATTTATTTATTTTTTTAAATAAATAATAAATTATTATCCTTTATTATATTTATTTTTTATAAAAAAATTACTATAAAAAAAAATAATTAAAATATAAATAAATGGGAGGATTTCAAAAATACCCTATTCCAAGATATATGAATACAAGTATGTGGGTTGTTAACCGTAACTGGAAATGGAATACATTCCATATGTTAGTTCCTACATTTTTTTTGTCATTTTTATGTTTTAGGAATTTTTCTGTGTCAACTGTAAAAAAATAAATTTATTAATAATTTTAATATATTTTAAATATGAAAGGTTACACCACCTTAGCCTGGTGAATATATTGACCCTAAAAGCCAATGGACACCTAAAATATTAAAATATTGAAATAAAATACATAGAATAATATTATTTTAAATAACAAATGCGAAGCAATTGATAAAAAATTTATATAAATTTTAGATATAAATAAATTAACAAAAAATAAGTATTTATAATAAAAATAAATTATATAAAAGATATTAATTTCATATCTTAAACGTTTTTTTGTTAAATTCTTGCGAAAAAAAATAATATTTATTATAAATTATAAAATCATAAAAAAAAAATATATATAAATATATATGATTAAAATCTTTTTATATAAAATATTTATTATTATTATTCTTTTAAACAAAAAATAATATTATTTATATATAAAATAAGATAAATATTAAAATTATTTTTTATAATTATAAATAAAATAATGTTTATATACAATATTATTATATTAATTAAAATTTAAAGATTCATTTTATTTCAGATTTTACATAAAATTACTATTATAAAAAACATTAGCTTGATTCTATATACTTGAGAAAAAATTAATTTAGTCTTATCATTTCTAATATCTATAATACATTATTTTTCTTAAAATTATTTTTTTGTAACTATAAATAATTGAATTATAAAACTTCTCATTATTTTCTTTTTTTTATACTATAAAAAATAAAACATTATTTCTCTGAAAATTTATTTTAATTTATATTAAATTAATTGATTTTTATTATATTATTTATCTTATATTTTTTTCTCTATTTACTACTTCCTGTATTTTTTAATAAACATATTTTTTTAATTAATCGAAATGAATTTTTTAACTATTTTAATTAATTTTAATTCAATAAAAAATTTTTTATAAACATAAAATTATATAAAAAGATGTATTATTTAATCGTCATTTTTAATTAAAAAAACTTCCACTTAAATTTAAAATTCTGGTATTATATTTACTTTCTTTTAAATTTAAAAGAATTTCCTTTTCAACCACACCCAATAAAACTTTATATTTAATAACTAAACTTATATTCTAATTCTTTTTTCCTAATTTTTTTTTTTTTTTTTTTCAAAATGAATATTTTTCCCAATATATATTTATCATATTTACACTATATAAAAATCTCAACTTTAACATTTAAAAATAAATAACTAAATTTCTATTTATAAATAAATAATTTTTGAATTAGATACATTTTTCGAAAATTAAAATATAATTATTAAATTTAATTTAATTCATTTTTTTTTTTTTTTATAAAATCCTTCTTTTAAAATAAAATCGTTAATGATAATTATATATATGATATGTATATTTATTTTAAATATAATAATTATATATAAAACATTATTTTTTTATTTATTAAGAGTAATTCTCCAAAATTAATTTTTTGATATTAATTATTTAATAAATACGTAATCTGGGAGAACACTTTTATATTATATTTATAAAAATTAGTTTTTTATTTCGTTTAAATTTTGTTAGTTAATTGCATACTATCATTTTCTATTAATAAATATTAATTTATATTTTATTTGAAAAAAAAAAAAATTCTAATTTTTATTCTTTTTATATTTATGATAAAATACTTCATTTTAATTTCTAAAAATTTTGTTTTTTTTAATAATTTAAATAAAATTAATTCTTTTAAACAAAAATTATTAAAAAATATTTTATTTTAACTTAAACTTGGCAAATACTTTTTTAATATATTTTTCTAAATAAAATTCATATTAATAAAAATGTTTATAACACTTAATTTTTTGTTTTAATTTATTTAAGTAGATGATTTCATATTTTAAAATTATAAGATTTTATTTGATATACTAAAATTATTTCTTATACAAACAAAATATTCTCTTTAAAATAATATAATAATAAATATAGATTTTTCGCAAAAAAAACCATTAAATAATACTTTTTGTTGAAAGAAAAAAACTTTTTGTTTCATTAAATAATAAGATATCAATATATATATTAAAAATTAATTTTATACCTAAATATTATTAAAATTTATTTAAATGATTATTTTTTTAAAAAAATTTAAATATAATTAAAGATGAATTAAATATAATATTTAAATACTTTTTTTAATAAAAAATATAAAAATCTTTTAAGTTTATATACAAGATGTATTTATAAATAAATAACTAATTTATATATTATTAAAAATTAATAAAATATTTTTTTATTTTTTTTAATAATATTATAATAAAAAAAAAATTGTTTATAAAATTCAGTTTTTTATACTAAAAAAATAACCATCATCATATATTCATATATATAATACTCAATAAAAGATTATCAATTTAATTCGTAAAAGTTTCCAAAAACGCACAAATACAAATTTTAATAAACGAATATATAAAAAAATGTTAATCTCTTTCAAACAATATATATGTGAAAGCAAAAGCCGAAAATATAAAAGCTAATGTACCTTCTAAGCTTTTTCTACTTTTATACCCAATTATAGTTTTTCCGAATTTTCTTCCTACTATACATGCGAAACTATCTCCAATCCCCAAAACAGCTGCTCCAGCAAGCGCATTATAGTAGAAATTTGCATTTTTAGTATCTAAAAGATAAAATGAATAAATCAAAGGGTACGCGATACCCAAAATCAGATAAATATGAGTCAAAATAAGTTATTTATTATCCCTTTTATCTATAAACTGACTCAAGAAAAGATCAAATTTATTAATTAAGTTATTCGATGTGCCAAATTCTTACCTTAGGAACTCCATAATAAAAAACAAATAAATCATTCCACTAAAAGCTAATAAAGTAAACTACGGAGCTCTATAAATTCCCAAGAGTAAAATAGCCACAACCTAGAAATGGAAGATTTTCCTAATATAAATATCCTCTATTTTACCTTTTAAATTAACAGTCATAATAATACCAAGTATAGTTAAAAAAAGCATCTAAAAAAAGACATATAAACTATCTTATTCTTAAAAAATAATACTAAAAGGGTTACCTAAGTAATATTTAGAAAACAAAAAGGCCAAAAAAGTAATTTATAAAATTAAGAAAAATACAAAAATATAAAATTTCTATTAATTTAAGTTTTTATTTAAAGAGTATATAATTTTACAAAACAAAGGAATAGAAACTGCACTAAATTAAAAAATATTAGAAAGGAAAGCCATATTCCCTTTTTCTAAAATAGTATGTCCATTATATAATTAGATAAATTAATTCATTCCTAAAAAAAAAAACTCACTGCATACTTTTGCAAATAGAAATCCCTCACAAAAGGTAAATGATTATCTATAATAGTTTAATAATATATATAAAAATAAACTCTTTATTAAAATCAAAGATATCATAATTTAATCTTTTTTAAAAGTTTAATACATTAGTAAAATCATTACTATTATTAGAAATTAAGCTATTAATTTCGATCTCTAAAAAATTTAATTTTTACCTTTTAAAGAACTCTAAGATAATAAATAAAGGACTACTGTTAATAATATTTATAATGAATAACTTTATAAGTGCTATTCTTTTAAAAATATGTATTCTTGATAGAATACAAAAGATAATTCTGGTATACCTTGTTCGTATAAAACTTATATCATATTTTTTTTAATTTAAAAAAAAAAATATATTTAAAATTAAAATAACAAAAATGAATATAAATATTTTTCTGAATAAAATTAAAAAAAATAATAATATAAAAATAATAATTATTATTAAACAAAACAAAAATAAAGATATTATTTTATTAATTCAACTAGGAATTTCAAATTAATATTTAAAAGCATCATAATTAAATGAATCGGGATTATGATTAAATTTATAAACAAATTCATTATATAATTCAGGTGTTAAATATTATCTAAAAGTTTAATTTAATACTAAATCTGCTTCATTTTTATTTAACATATAATTTAATATATCTCCCCTTGCTAAAGCGATTTCTAATATATATTAATATATAAATATATATAAATATATATATATATATATATATATATATATATATATATATATATATACAACTACCTTTTTTGGCTATTAATTCATCAAAAAAAGTTACAACTAAATAAGGTACAGCATTTGCTCCTTTTCTTTTATAATCTTCCAAATATGTATAAAGCTTTTTTATTATTTTGAAATAATTAAATAGTTTAACATTAATTTTAATTTTTTATTTACAATAGATTTATCTTATGCTTATCCTATTAATAAAAAATGACCTGTTTTCTTAATTACAGGTAATAAAAACATTGGAGACTCTAAATATCTATAAATCATATATATAAATCCAATTTATTTTATATATATATACTATTTTTTAAATGTTTCATATTCTTTTTTTGATAATACATATACTACATTTTCAGATCTTTATAAATGATATTTCATCCATAAATCTATACATTTATCTTTTGTTTCCCTTTCAAAAAGTGATAATTTTACTATTTCTCTAAGTTTTCGGGGACAAGGATATGTAAATGCAAATTATTTAAACGGAATAATTACAAATTTATTCATGAAATTTTTTTTAATTTATTACTTAAAATTAAAAAATTAAAATAAATACTAAAAAAGATAAAAATAAAATAAATACATAATTAAATATATTAATAAATAATTAATATTGTTAATTATAAATATTGTATTTTAAAGATAAGTACATATAATATAAATAAAATGAAAATATTGTTTTAATTATAAAATATATCATAAGTATATATTAAAAAATTAAATGTTATATTATTAGAAAAAATGTTTACAAAATATAAATATATAAATATATAAAAAAATATATATCTATAGATTTATATAGAAATATATTATATATATATATATATATATATATATATATATATATTAGTTTTTATAAAATATAAATTAATTACACTTTTCTATATAATAAATAAACAATAAGCTGAAATTTTCATTATTTATTTTCAAATGTTTTTACATTTTCACCAAATTCGCTTTTATTTCCAATAGCTGCTGTTACTGCAATTAACTTTTTTAGTTTTTCTTTTTATTTAATATCAAATTATACTGTTTATTTAATTTCCTTTAATTTTAATAATTTTATATAATATGTTTGTTTTAAATATTATTTTATACATTTCTACAAAGATAACATTCTCTAGTTCTTTTAAAAATATCAATTGCACATTCATAGCAAATACCCCCATGTCCGCATGGCATAAATATAGAATCTGGTTCATTTTAATAACAAATTATACATATATTTTCATTTTCTTCTTCTTGCTTTTATTTTTTAAAAAATTACATTTATTTTAATCTTAATTAAGCCTTAGGACTTGAAATAAATTCTTAAAATTTAACTTGTGTATCATAAGCTAATATTTATTATTAATTTTTAGGTTTTATTAATTGTATTTAATTTAATTCAAATCTTATATCTATGTCTTTATAACTTTCACTAAGTCCTTTAGGTGACTATGAATCAAAGAAAAAAATTTTATTATTTTAATTTTTTTCTTTACATCTATTAGAAATTTTTAATTAACTTTAACAAACTTTATTTTTTAAAATAAAATAATAATAAAAAAAAATTATGATATTAAAAATACCTTTTTTATCTGTAAATTTATTATTTTTTAATTCTGTTATGTTTTGTTTAAATTGATTATTAAATTAAAATGATGTAAAATAAGTAGAGGATAATTTTTCCTTTAAAAATATAAAAAAATTTATTAAATAAATATATTAATAAATATATATATATATATATATATATATATAATTATTTTTTATATTCATTAGAAATTATATATTTATATATTATTTAAATATTTTATTTATATTTATTTATATTAAATTTTACTAAAAGTAAAGGAATTCCTATTAATAAAGATATCTTTTTATCTAATTTTATTTTTTTTAATTTTATTTAATTATTTTAATTTTTTTATTTGTTTTGTTCTATTTCTTAATTTTAATTTTAATCTGATTATTACCAACTTATTTCTTCTTCTTAGTCTTATTCTATATTTGTTTTTTCAGATACGTTACTTTTATCAAAAGATTATTAAAAAAAATTTTCTGGAATATCTTATATATAGCCAACAATTAAAATTCTATATATATATATATATATATATATATATATATAAATATATAAATATATAAATATATAAATTTATAAAAAATTTATATTTTACTTTATATCCTTCCAAGTATAAATAGAATATATAATAAAAACAAAAGTTTATAAAAAATTAAAAAACAATGAATATTTAGCTGTTTAAATATTATAATTTTCATATTTTTCTATAATAGAATAAACAAAAGATGTTGAATTTGTAAATAAACCGAAGCAAAACAAAAATATCCAAAATAAGTCTTTAACTATAATATATATATTAAATATATTTTTTTTTTATATAAACTAAAAATATAATATAAAATACTTTAAATTTGCTAATCATTATATATATTCTTATATAATTTTTTTATAATGCATTTCTCAATTATTAAAATTATCAATATAAAATTAATAAAAATCATAACATAAAAAAATATCCAAAACGGTAAAAATATATCGACCCATTTCCAGTCAAGATTTCCATATTATTTAATACAAATTAAGTATACTTATAACACTAAAAATATTTTGAATCCCCAAAAAAACTAAAATATTTTTAAAAAAAAATATTTATTAATAAAAAAATAAAAAAAAATAAGTAGAATAATATACACTATCATATAATATTATCATAAAAGTTTAACTTTCAATTAAATTTCGTAAAATAATCAAAAAAAACATTAAAAATAAATATATAAGCATAACAAATATCAAATAATAAAATTTAAATCTTTCTATTTCAAAATAAACATAAAAACTAAACTATTTAATTATTAAAAAAATTATATTAAAAATATAAAAATAAAAAATAAATATATATATATATATATATATATATAATATTTATATATCAAAATTTATAAATTTATTATTATAAATAAAATTTATATAATATATTTTTATTTTTATTTTTTTATATAAATATAAATATCTTTTATATATATATACTTTGAATCCTATTGATAATATAGTTTCTATTATATTAGATATATTTATTAATTCATCACTTCTTTATTCATCTAGTTAATTTCTATTTTTTTATAAAAATATTTTATTATATTTCTTATTACTCTAAATAAATTTTATTGTATGTCAAATAAAAACTAATAAAATCTATAATCCATAAAAATATTAAAATTATTTTATAATTAATATGTATAATTTCCATCATTAATATCAATAAAATAAAAAATTATAATGAAAGATTATGAAATATATATGAAAATATAATAATCGAAGAATATTGTTTAATCTATTACATTTAATCTAAATTATCATGCATTTTTAATTTATTTAGTTTATTATCTTAATCATTAATAAATTATTATTATTATTATTATTATTATTATTATATTATTATTATTATTATTATTATTATTATTATTATTATTATATTTATACTTATTATACCTACTATATTTATTATACTTATTATACCTACTATTACTATAAAACTTACTATATTTATTAATTTTATTATACTTATAATTTTTATTATTATTATAATTATTATCCTTATTATAATTATAAATTATTTTTTAATTATTACTACTATTATCTTTTTTATGTTTATTATATATATTATGTTTATTATTCTTTTTAGTTATTTAAATTTTATTATATTTATAATTTTTATACTTATTAATCTTTTTATATTTATTATACCATTATTTATTAGCAAACCTGTTATACTTATTAATATTATTGTTAATTTTATATCAATTTTTATTATTATTATAATTATTATTATTATTATTATTATTATTATTATTATTATTATTATTATTATAATTAAAAATGTTGCTATTATTATAATTCATAATCTTCATTAAATATTCCTTAAATATATGATTCTTTTTAATTTTATAATTGATTTATTATAATCCTATTATTAAAATTATCTAAACTTTAATCATAATCATTTATTTGTTAATTCATTATATTAGAATTACTTTTATTTGTATTTTTTTAATCTCGTATATAAGTTGTACTATTTTCATTATTAAAGTATTATTGTTATCTATTATAGCTCTATTAAAACTTTAAATTTCTTATGTTTTTTAAATAATTTTTCTTTTTTTGCATTTACGTCTATATATTTATTATAAATTATTTATATTTAAATTTAGAAGGCAATAATCTAAATATATTAATAATATTATTTTATATATTTAAAAAAGCTTTTTATTTTATTTTTTAAATATAATATAAAATCATAAATAAATTTTTAAAATTGTTAATTGAATTTTCATTTAAATAAAATTAATATTTTTTATAAAATATATATATATCAGTAAAAAAAAATTATTTTTAATTATAAAAAATTATAATTATATATTAAATTCTTTATTTTTTAATGTAATTATAACTTATTTTATAATAAATTAAAAAAAAAATATTTATTATATTTTTATATGAAAATAAAAATTATTATAAGTTATTTAAACATTTGGTTTTAAGTTTAAATAAAATATATATTTTTAATTATATAAATATATATATATATATATTTATATATTTATATATATAATAAAATTTATATAAATAATAGATAGTATTTTTATAATTATTAATAATTTATTATATATGAAAATTATTATAATAATATATTATTTATATATATATATATTAATAACCATATATTTAAATTTTATTTTTATATCAATTATTTATATATAATAATATAAACAATTATTATTATATATTTTATTAATGCAGAAAGTTCTTAAAAATCCTGGAAAATAAGGTCCTTAATTTAAATTAAATTTAGGTCAAAACAATGGCCCAAATTAAAATATAAATCGAAATAGTATTTAATCTATTGAAGATCTTTTTGAATATAATAATGAAAAAATAATGAATGAAAACATTGGTATTAATATAAATGAATCTAAATTATAACATATTACTTAATTAGTACATGTAATTAATATTTTAAATTTAAATATTTAATAATTATAAAAGCAATTATAAAATGATATGTAATTTGTAAGAGTATAAAGAATTTAATATATAGAGGATATGAAAAAAATATAAGATGAAACACACAAATAAAATATTAATTTCTTAGTTGAATTAGAGTAAGGAACAAAAAAATTAAAAACATAATTAAGAAAAAATATAAAAGAAGAAAATTCGATAAATGAGAAAATGAAAATAGATATAGAACAAATAAATAAAAAGAAATTAAACATTATTTAAAATAATATATCAGGTTCCTATTAAATATAAAAATTATAACAATTTATGGGTACATATTAAACAAAATGAAAATAAGATAAAGTACATAAAAAATATAATATAGAATAAATGATTAAATAATTGTTTAAAATAACAAAAATTAATATATGAATTATTATAAAATTAAATATTATATTTTATATAAAATATTTTAATTAATTATCGAAGAAGAATAAAGTATAAATAAAAAACAATATTATTTTTACCTAATTTTTTTTTTTTTAAAAAATATATTAGAAAATTATCAATTTATAAAATAATTAAAATTTAAAAAATTTTATTATTAAAAAATACTTTTTTTGTATAGTATCTACAATAATATTAAATAAAGCTTTAAAAATTATATAAAAACCTCTATAATAATAAATATTCGCACTAAAAAATGTATTATTATTAAACTAAATGATAGGTAAAATAAACAAATCTTGATATAATCAATAAAATTAAAATATGTGTAAATTTTTTATTTATAAATAATTAAAATATAGTGGTAATAAAATTTATAAATATAAATTATAAAAATAAAAATAATAAAAAGAAAAAAATGAAATAATTAAATAAAAAAAAAATATTTGTATATATATATATATATATATAAATATATTTAAAATATATATTTTTTTAATTAAATTTTTTATTTTATTTAAATTAAATATTTATTGAAGAGCGCATTTTATATCCGCCAAATAAATAATTAAAATTTATATATTGTGCTTTTTTTTTTTCTTTTTCTTAGTTATAAAAATTAATAAATATAGAGAAAATAAATAAATATAATATTAATAAATATATATATATATATATTAAAATGAATTAACATAATTTTTTCAATCCTAAGTATTAAGAAAAAGCTTTATTATTAACTGAATTCATAACTTCCTTTACTGAAAAATCTTCAGATGAATCTAATAACATACACAAAGATATAAAATACATGAATTTATTAGTAAATAATAAAATAAAATTATTACATTAAATAAAATAAATTTAATAAAAGCAAAAAGTAGCAAATAGATAAATTAAAAGAGTTGATATATTAATGGAAGATTTAGAAGACTACTTTAGAATCGGAAAAGATAATAAAGAAAATCCACTATTAAATGCTATTCATTTAAACACAAGTAGATTTTAAGAAATATTATCTTCAATTTGTGACAAATTAATGCCTAAAAGGACAACTCCATAAACTGAGGAAGAAGTAAAAAAAAAACAAAAAAATTAGTAAAAAATTACAATAAAAAAGGAAATCGAAAATATGAAAGAAATAATAAACTAACACCGTTTAAGTAATTTAGAAGTAGAATAAAATCGAGACGAAAACACATATAATAAAATTCACCCAAAAATAATCCGAAAATATGAATTATTTATAGTAAAAGGACCTAACTCTAAAAATAATCCCATCCCCATAAGAAAGCTTACTTCTGATATTATAGGATAACTAGTAACCATAAAAGCTATTGTAGTAAGAGTATCTGAAGTAAAACCTTAAATATAGGTGGCCTGTTATATATGTGATACTTGTGGTGCTGAGTTATACTAAAGTGTAGATTTTAAAAAATATACGCCTTTGTCTTCTTGTTAAAGTGGAGTTTGTTTGACTAATAGAACTAAAGGAAAAGTTCAAGTCAGTATCCCTTCAAGTGTTTTTTGTAGTTATTAAGAAATTAGAGTATAAGAAACTTCAGATTAGGTACCATATGGGAATATTCCAAGAAGATTTTTAATTATTTCTAAAGGAGAAAATGTTAATTAATGCACTCCTGGAGATCAAGTATAAATTATAAATTATATATATAATTAAATAAAAATATAATGTAACATTTATAAATTAATAGATAGTTGTATAAGGAATTTACTTTTCAACTTAAAAAGATAGATTTAGAAATACAGACCTTTTAGTAATGGATACATATATAGAAGCTTATTAAATTATAAAAGAAAAGAAAAGTTATTCAGATGAAAATACAAGTATAGAAATAATGTAAAGAATCGAAATAATGCGCCAAACTATGAATTAGTAATAGATTTATGAAAATCTCGCTAAATCAATAGCACCAGAAATATATGGAATGTTAGATGTTAAAAAAGCATTACTTTTATTATTAAGTAAGAAAAAAAAAATATATATATATATATATAAATTTATATATTTATCCATATATTTATTTTATTTAAATATTTATATTTATTTATTAATTTATATAATTTTAATTAAAAAGTCGGAGGAAGATCGTTAGAAAATAGCGAAGGTATAAAAATTAGAGGAAATATAAATTTAGCTATGATCGGAGATCCTGGTGTAGCTAAAAGTTAATTATTAAAACATATTGCTAAAATATCCCCTAGAGGAATCTACACAACCGGAAAAGGTTCTAGTGGTGTTGGTTTAACCGCATCTTTAATAAAAGATCCAGTAACTGGTGATATGAGTTTAGAAGCTGGTGCATTAGTACTAGCTGATACTGGAGTATGTTGTATAGATGAATTTGATAAAATGGATGAATATGATCGTACATCAATACATGAAGTAATGGAATAATAAACTGTTTCTATCGCTAAGGCAGGAATGGCCACTTCCTTGAATGCCAGAACGTCTATTTTAGCAGCTGCAAATCCTTTATATGGTAGATATAATCCTAATTTAACTCCTCATAAAAATATAAATTTACCAGCAGCTCTTTTATCAAGGTTTGATCTTATTTTTATTTTACTTGATAAATGTACTGCAGAAGGTGATATGGAAAAGGCAAATCATATTATATATGTGCATAAGTATAAATAAGCCCCTAAGTTGAATTTTGATGTAATTGATGTTTAAACTATTAAAGCTTATGTGGGATTAGCGAAATAATACTAGCCGATTTTAGGAAAAGAACTACATTAATTTTTAATTGAAAAGTATTTGGAAAAAAGAAAGGATTAAAGTTAGTAATAGGGAAAAAATTATACTACTCCAAGAACTCTCTTGGGAATTATTAGATTGGCATAAGCTTTAGCTAAATTAAGGTTCTCAGATTTAGTAAACTAAGATGATGTCAATGAAGCCTTGAGATTAATGGAAGAATCTTAAAAATCAGTAGAGGAAACTTAAGATGATAAATAAAGTAATAATTATAAATATAATAAATATATTAAAATATATATATAAATATATATATATATGTTATTATATATATTTTTTTATTTATTTAATTTTAGTTGAATAAAAGAAAAATGATTTTAAATCTTCTATTTATAATTATATTTAAACTTAGTGTAAATGTAAAAATAATAGAGTAAATATGAGTGATTTGGAAAGATAAGTAATTTTAATTTATTTTTTTAATTATTTATATTAATTTTTATATTTTTTAGCTTAATCATAAAGGATTTACGGCTGAATAAATTTAAAAAACTATAGATTATTATCAAGGGATAAATGTATTAATGTAATCGGAAGATGGAAAAATAGTTAGTATTGTAGATAATTTATGAAAAATTATTTATTAATTTAAAATAAATTTATATATATTTTTTTTTATTATAATTATTTTTAATTCATATTTTTATATATATATATATATATATTATATAAATTAGTTTTTTTTTAAAAAATATATATTAAAAAAATGTAAATTTTTATTATTAAAAACTAAATTTATATTAGTTAATATTTTATTATTTAACTTATTATTCTAATTCTAATATAATAATTATAATATATGTATTTTTATAAAATTATATATTATTTTTATTTTATTTTTATATACATAAAAAAATAACTATATATCATTAATATTTTTCATAAAATAATAATAATAAATAATGAATAATTAAAATTAAATAATAAAATAAATAATTTTAATATATAAATAAAATAAAACATTATATTAATATTTAATTAAAATTGAATTATATATTAAAACAAACAAAAAATAGTAAATTTAATAAAATATTTTAATAAATAAATTAAACTATTATATATAATATTAAATAACTATTTATTATATTGTTCTTAGTAAAAAGTATATATTTTTGGAGGTTTATTTTTTATAAAAAGAATAAAATCTGAAATAAAATATAAATGAACTGCAAAATATATTAATAAATTTAACTTTTTATGAGAATATTTTAAAATTTTTAAAATATAAGTTGTTAAATTATTCTAAATATTTAAAAATTAAAAAATAGGCACAATATAAAAGTAGCTTTTATTAAAGTTATGGTTCTTCAGAAGGCTTAAATATACTTAAATGAGTGCACTTTCTAAATATACAGTTATTATTAAATAAAGTAAATAATAGAGTATATATAATGAATTAAACGTATGTATTTAATTTTAAAAATTATAAGGATATAAAAAATATATAGATTAGTAAATAATATAAAAACTTGTACATTAGTTCAATATATTATTATAATTATAATTAAAAATTTTTTTTACCAAAAATAAAATTTTATACAAATATATAATAAAAAAAAAATATAAAATAAGAAATAGAAATAAAGTAATCTTATTTTTAAAAAAATATTAAAATAAATATAATTAAAATCTAAAAATTTATAACAAATAAATTATTATATTATGTATTTAAAATTGAATATAATGGCTTTATAATAAGGTTGCTTAAAATTTATTTGAATAATATGTAATTAAAAAAAGTAATTAATTAATATAAATTATAATATATTTAAAATTAATATAAATTATTTATAATATAATTAAAAATTAAGATTTAAAAAATGTATATATATATATATATAAAAATATATATATGTATTTATATATTCACATATATTTTTTTTTTTATTTTTTTTTTTTAAAAAGTCATAATTTTTTTTTTATTAATTTAAATTAAATTTTCTAATAAAATGATTTTAAAAATTAATTTTAAATATATTTGGTATTAATATTAACAAAATATATTAAACATAGATTAATTATAATTATAAAATATTTTTTTTGTTAGAATTTATTATATTTAAAAAATAATTTGTATATATCCTATATATTATCAAAATAATAATAATAATTAAATTATATATATAAAATAAAAAGAATTAGGATATTTTATATTATTTTATATTTTTAAATAAAATACACATAAATAGATTTAAATTATTATTATAATATAATTAAATAATAAAAATAACTCCTTAGAATAAAAAAAAAAAAAAAAACTAAAAAAAATGACTGAAGTAGAAACCGTCCCTAAAGAATAATTTTTAAGACTATAAGAATCATATAAATAAAGTCAATCAGAAATATCAGAAATAACAGAATTATTTGAAAAGTAAATTATTATTAAAATAAATATATACATTATTTGAAAAATATAAAAAAAGATATAAAGATGGAACTGAATAAATGGAAAAAGTTTAATTAGAATAAGTTGAAATGCTTGAATAATAACTCGAAAAATCTTAATTAGAAAAGGAATATTTAATGCTTACATTAAAAAGAGAATTATAAGAGTAAAATACTATATATATATAATATTTTATATATAAATTTAATAGAATATAACTCGAAACCTAAAAAATAATATGTGATAAAGATGACGAAGTAATAAAAGCAAAAGAAGAGCTCTAAAAAAAGAATTTATTAATAGATTAATTTATTGAAACTGAAAAAAACAGAATTGTTTAAATTGAAGAAATCGAAAATAAAGAAAATATTAATGATGATGATAAAGATACATTAATAACAAATTTAAAAAAATAATTGCTTATTAAAAATCTTAAATTATAAGAAACGACAAAAGAGCTTGAAAATAATTAAAAATTCACTAAAGAATAAAAAGAAATGTTTGCCGAATTTTAAAAAGAAGTGTAATTTGTTTTTTTTTTGTTTTTTATTTAAAAAAAGAAAAAAGAAAAAGATTATATATTATTATTTTTTTTTTATTTTAAAAAAAAAAAAAAAAAATAGAATGTAAAAAACTTAAGAAAGAGATAATAAAGTAGTATAAATGTAAGAAAAACAAATCGAATCTTTAAAAAAATCAATACATGCCAAAGATGAATATATTAGAAATCTTGAGAATATTCCTAATTGTTAAAATGAAGAAGTCGAATTAATGAAAGAATTAATATTTTAATAATAAGAAAAGTTAACTAAAATTACTACTAACTTTGAATTGTATTACTTTTTTTTTTTTATATATATATAAATAAAAATATGTGTTATTTTATTTATTTT